TGAATATACTGATTATGTATTTCAAAGGTTAATGCGATGCACTCCAAAAAAAGTTGACGACATCGTAAAGATACCTGGAATGGATGCGTGTAAATAAAGTTTCATTGACAATTTCCAAAATTCAGATTTAAAAACGAATTGAAATGCAGTTCCATTTTAGATATATTTTAGCCTAAGGGTTCAAGATGCGGGTTCAGAATCCAGACTCAGCGCTACATTTGTAGGACCCATTATAACTAAAAGTTAATTAATGTGACATACCCAACAAACACACATCCTATATAACAATAGACAACGGTTACCAACACCGAATTTTTCACAATACAAAAATTAGGACGTATGTAATATCTTTGTTTCAGTGATGGTAACGCAACAGACCGAAAAAATATCCGACTGTATTGACGATATGGCGGCCTACTCAAAGCTGAATGACAGCATCCTTCAGTTCGTGGAGCTTCCGATAACACTGGGGAACATGTTCCAGGACGCTGGTCGTATGAACATGCTGTCGTAACTGGAATAAAACTCTGCCAATACATTCAGTTCTCACACATATGTAACATAATTCATGAAAATAAGGCAGCATCTGATCAGAGAGCGATAATTTGTAATTATACATGCAAAGAACTTAGGTTTCTCAAGGAAAAACTAAATATTTTGGGCAGCAGACATGTAACTCCCAATCCTTCCAATAAGAAAAAACATTATCCTAAGAAAATGGAGGATGAAAGTAACGGAAAGGGTCACCTGCAAAGGGAGTGCCCTTAACCAAACGATATCATGGAAGGCATGAAAGCAGACTTGCTAATGAAGCCGTTCATTCTCAATGTTCAAGGTCATACTACAGGGAAGCCCGTCTAAGTCAAGGAGGCTGTTAAATTTACATCGATACAATCAAGAATAATCAAAGAGCCGTCTACCAAGATGGCTACCTCAAAATGAGTGAACAAAATACAGTCAAGCACCGTTATGTCGGAACTCCTGATAACTCGATATCTCGGTTGTCTCGATATAACATCTCGGTCCCGGTAAAATCCTTCATAATTTATCTTTGTCTTCAAGCTCTTTTATCCTCGATACGGATGTCTCGATATTTCGGATATCTCGATATAATTTCATAGTCCCAACAGAAGCAAAATTACCCTTTCAACTCGATGTTGCAAAAGAAATTCTATTTTTCACCTACACCTTTCATGGGCAAGAATCCTTCTGAACTGAGGTTGTTTCCACACGTTTACACACGGCGCGGCATGAATCAATGGGATGCGGTAGTAGTGTAAACTAATTAGAGGCTTCAAATGTAGTTGAGTTGACTAATCACTACTGATAACAGATTACAGTTTCGAATCAAAACATACTGAGAAGCGTTTTGTTTTCTTTCAGTGATATGTGATGATATGCCCTGGTCGGATGTCTCAAAGTTCGGATAACCTTGATATTTTTCTTGGGACCATGAATATCAAGACAACGGTGCTCGACTGTATTCTGAACATTATTCTATGTTTCTACTTGTCGATTTTACTGACGATGTAGCGATAGTAGGGTAAATAAAAGCTTGGATATGTAACATTCAATGGATGCTTTTCTACCCTTATATCTCTAATTTGTGCATATCAAATAATTTAATACCGAAACTAAATTACAGAAGAAACACCAGGACTGGAAACAGCAAGAGGCATACTGAAAAGACTCCGGTCAAGAGACTTGTACAAGTGTGTTGGCAAACACATTTTATCACCTGATGATGATGATGTATGTATGATGAGGGTTTCTTACATATCGTGCTGTCGCAAGATATTGGTACATTGCATATTGGGTGAAGGTGATATTTGTCAGTAATTCATTTATGCCTACTATCAGTGAGGCCAGAGAAGGAAAAGGATAACAAAATGTAAATTGGGATGATAAGGGCGCAGCCAGTTGTTTTGCATAAATTCGACAGGTTGAAATTATCGCAGGCAGGTGACAGAAAGAGATAATGAGTTTCACCTCATGTGGTATAGTTTAAAAGCATACAGCATATTAATAAGCGTACATATTACATAAAATACCATGCGCCACTTTCCATTTGGAGTTATGAGGATGACAGATGATAGGTGGCATATAATATATAAGCATGCCAAGCGCTGGCCTGAAGGCATGGAATTCCTTGACCTGTAGCTCTCTATATGGGTAACCAAGAGAGATCAAGCATTTTAACAGTATTAGCAGTTACACCGCAGAGGGACCGAAAGATACTTACAGCGCTGATATATGCCACGTAACCCACCCGTGTTCACCTCCGAAGGGTAACCTCTGAGAGGGAAAGGCATTAGCAAAACAAAACCACCTTAAAATCCGTCACCCAAATTTATACCTAAAAATTTGCCCCCACAATAAAACAAACCTTACAGCTTTGGGATCTCTTAGAAGAGTGCAACCCTCCACTTGAGAGAATTGATGAATATGCCCCTGCCAATTTCTGAGAGGTGAAGCCGTCCTGGAAGTACAAACCTGGATCTTTAAAGCAGATCTCATGCGATATGGTCTTTCCCTCCCATAACAAAACCACCAGCATCGCACGGCCCTTTTAACCCTTTTCTGTTGTTTCTACAGCTACCCATCACGTCTTACTTTTGGCCACTTCATGCAGGGAAGCATCTCAAGACCAAACTAACGTACAGTCTGTTAGCAAATGTTAATGCGGAGCCATACCTTCCCGGATCATCATTGACAGCTGTGTATGATCAAGTAATGTCCGTCTTTGGGTAGCGTTGCAGACGGCGCTCGATCATCGTATGCACGTGCAGCCATTTGAGTCCACGCTTGCTCAGCCATGTTCCGAGCCCCGGTAGCCGCAGACTGCATCCACCGGTCGTCTTACTGCCCTCTTATGCGCCCAATAGATATATGGGGATCCCAGTATCCAGATTTCTGAAGCAGACTTTGCCTAGACGTAACGAAAAACATTCATGTTAATACGTTCATTCAGATTTCATTGGATGATATAATGAAAGGTCGGAGTTACCAATCCAGGGACCATCGGATATAGCTGGCATAGGCAGCAGATGTCCATCTGCCCAATTGGCTTGATAGTATCCTCAGGCACTCCGAGGGTAGCTGCTGACGATGCTGCTCCGGTTCTAAAGCTGTCTGATTTGTCAGCTCTTGAGTCGAGAGATTGGCAAACTTGACTGCCTTTATGCGAATACTGCGTTAAACTGTGACCTTGTGACAGGCTCACTCATTAAAGTGCCTGTAGAGATATTTGCCTCCCTTAGACCTTATTGACGAATACCTTCATCACTTCTTTTGGGACGGATGAGACAGATTCCATCTGGGTGCTCGCGGGCCAAGAGTGTTATACCCTCCCAGCTTGATCTGTTTTGCAGATAGAGAATCTTTACCGAAATTGAGGTGGGATAAACTAAAGAATGTCTGATAAAAACCGGTGTTTCTCTGTCAGTTCTTGGCAACCAAGAACAATTTCACAAATCTGTTAAGACACACCCAAAGAAATTGCTTTACTGTAAAGGCAGATGTGAAAAGACTTATTTCGTATGTTACGTTTGGCGCCACCTATGCCAAGGCATCCAATATTCTTGGTAAAATGTGTATGGTAAGTGGGTGCTCATGTATCCCTACTGCGGGTTCTGTTTTCCTCATGCAATGCATCACTTTCTTTCTGACCAATGATCTGTCGGGTCCTCGTATGACGAGGCTTGTGTGTTCTGCTAATCGCCGACAAAGGTGTTTGCAATGGCACTTGATGACCGGCGTTTGAGTGAGAGGTAGGCAATATAATGACTGATGCATGAGCTGACGATACAGACTGGCAATATTGCTGATATCTTGTGTTGACCAAGCAGAAAGATTGAAACTCCTTTAACCGCTTGCTTTACCATGAGTTATGTTGGTAGTCTGTGACACTGATTGCTGTATCAGACGATGGATTCTCTGCGTGGATAATTCCCACATCTGCTCTGGTAGCGGAATTCGCCCTGGGTAGGGCATTAGCAACCTGTTGCCGAAAAACACACAAAACTTAGATCTTAATGATATACAATGAATCATCCCGATATACTGAACTTCTAAAACCAAAAGCTAGCGCAATCACTTTGGTGACACTTGAGGTAAAAGCCTAAAGGATTTTATTTACAATCAGCATCTTGCAAGGAGATCAAGGAAACCTGGAACTGACCTTGTAAAATGTATCTTTTCTTATACTTCGCTCGTTATCAAATTTTGTCAAAGTGACTTTGCAGTTGTAGGGATGAGTTCCCGAAATGTTATACCTGAGCCGCACAGCTTATTCTGCATCCGCTGTGGAGCAGATGATAAATAGAACTTTGTTTTTGAACTTAAACGGTGGAAAAAAAATGTTAGACACAGAGTAAACACGATTCTTCACCATATCTAATTCAGTTTTAAAAATTTCTTTCAACCAATTCTACAAACTGATTAGCTGATTTAAGATTTTGGCAATCCGACGATTCACACGAGGGCCCCTGTAGTGCCGAGAAAGGACCATTACCAAACCCGGATCCCTAACTTCTGCAAAGCGGTGCTTCAGTGTCACCTGGGTAACCTGTCTTAGGTTTCTCAGTGTTAAACTGGTGTCCTGCTCTGTCCAGCAGTGTATTCACCGCTTGCTCCATGGGTATTTTTCCATATTCCTAGGCGGACTTGGTTGACGAAAACAGGATTTTGAGGATGTGTTCCATTATCAAGCAATACATGTGTATGTACTCTTGCAAGCATGTCTACTACATGACCGGTAGTTTGTAGTCGCACCAGTTGTTGGTGTGTAACTTACGGGAGCACCCTCGGGAAGCATGGTGGTGAGGTGTCTCACCGTTTCGCTGATGACCTATTGTTGCCAGGAGGTGCTGTTGACTGCATGTAAAGCATCCACATTTCTGAATTCGATGTTAGCCCATGAGCGTCACTGGGTGTCCTGCTTGGTACAATCGGAAGGTGGGTGTCATAGCTTTTCCAGGCCTAATTTGACGCTGAGCCGCCAAGCTAATCGTATGCATGTATTTAAGCAGCCCTGGTGGCGCCTAAGGAAACTTCGTTAAGTGGGACGCTAGCGAAGATTGTGACGGCTGTGGTCCATTCGTTAATATGCCTGATTTTGATTTCTGGTTTGATGACTTTGAAATTTCACTTTGGCCTAGGCTGTTAATTGTCAATACCTGTGATTGTGTTGAAAAGGCGTCTGCTGTGCACCTCTGAGCAACAAATTGAAATCGACGTATTCTCCTGGTGATTTTGGTAGGTACTTCCTACCGTATCCGCTGACATCCAGATTTGGAGTGACGTCATCATCTGTATGTGATGGGAAATGCCGGGGTGGCCTATACTCACCTGGCCACGTAGCTTTTGCTCCTAGGGACGACCATGTGTGCTCCACGTTGTTTCTTGCTTGGCGGGACAGTGGCGGTAGCCTCTACACGACTTGTCTCACCTACTTCCAGCCTCTATCTTATTAGAAACCCTTCTATTAGTCCCGGCCGCTTCTTCCTGACATTCTGAAAACACCACACAATTAACAAATGGATCATATTGTTGCGGGAGATTTGGAGTTTCGGAAATAACGCGATGCTGTGGCTGTATGATAAAAGAATTAGAATGCATTGTGGTTGAAGCGCCATTTTGTCAGTAATCCATTTATGTTGCACAAACACACACACGTTTTCTATTATTACAAGGTAAAAGGGAAGTACAGCAAGGCTAACTCGACTCGAACCTCTAATAATATTCTATCGCTGCTGAGAAATGCAGCAGAACCATATAGAGACATCAGACCAATGTTTTATGGCATGCGTCACGCTAAGAATCATGACAGTTTGATGAAACTTGAGAATAGGTATATTAAAGCTGTAATTATGTCTACGTTTCTGAGTTTGTGTGTCATACGAAGGAATAACTGTTACAGTTCAATATTGCTGTTTCAGCTAGACATTGAGCAGAGAAAACGAAAATCCTAACGGAAGGAAACAGGGGCTTCAAAGTGAAGACTTTGAACCTTGTTGTGTCGTACAATTTACACTCCTGTTCGCAAGAAAACATTAACGAAACAAATTTGTATGTTTTAATTAATCAGCGGTATCTGTAGCAGAAAGTCTTGACGTTGTCTCTAGACGATGATTGGTATTGGTATTTGTGGAGACGAAATGATGACGGTTGGTGTTCAGTAGTGGTGAGGAAGGGATTTCACAATGCTTCACATTTACCGCATTACCGCTTTGGTGAATCGGGGCTCTTGGATATTAGTTCCTGAACGGCATTTTAGAAGTTGGATGAAAATGGATACATGACACTTTTTGGGGATAACAACTCCTCTTTATTCTTTATACGACGTTTCAAAAGTTAAGATAATAATTCTATTTTCAGATTTCTAATTTTGTTAGCGTTACAATTAAATTGTTAATAATTATTGCTATCTTTGTACACATTATCAGATCAAATGCAAATTATCAAATGCATCTAATTAAAACAGTATGACGGTTCCGATCAGGATTAACGGCATAATGCGGACACGTACCCTGGCACGTTTCATGTATTCTGATTTTAGCTGAAGCGCACGTGCCTGTAAAAAGTACCCGTACCTGGGGTACATATCTGTAGTACCGATGCTGACAACGACCACACTCCAGTCTTAACGATGTAACAACTTCGAGCAGAATGCAACGTGAACTCTCCATGCGGCTCCTCTTAGGCAGATTTTAGCATGCCAATAAAAGCATATCAAAGTCACGGCTATGGATGGTTATGTATTCTTATAGGAGATGTCTTTCGATTATGCTGGAAAGAAGGACAATGACCAATAAGTAACGTCCGGTTTTATAAGAAAACAAAATCGTGGAAAGCCCTTACCTCCCGGAAGAAAAGGTATGAAGACTCTTTGCTATTCTTGTATAAGATTTATATGATTTCCCATTACCACGTCAGGTGGGTAAATTGATATTGAGTCGCTTTAAATGCTCATATTTTTGATTTATACACTGCACCTTGAGAATCATCACTTTAAACATGAAAGTTGTATTTGAAATTTCAAGATGTTCTAATTTTATATTTTGAAGGTTGGTTGTATTTAATAATCCTTGAGCACTTGGTTTGTTATTTATTGTTTGGCTTATGTCTTATCATTATTGAGGAGCTCGTAAAATGTCGTTTCGCCCATTTGTAGATCTTGTTGAGATCACGGTATCGTGTGACTAAGCCTTACACTCCCACAACGATCGTATGCTGCGCTATTAGCATCTTGTCGTCTGCCTTGATAGTTATATGAACGACATTATTCCACGCTGCCATTATTAATGCTGGCTGTTGGACCACACAATATTACTTCTTCGTTACTTGTAGCCAGCTATTACTCTTCACGGACGGGATACCAATTGCATTCAGTTAACTTGTCTGCCCCTTTCCAACACTAATTCCTGGATTAAAGAGTCATTCCACAATTTTTGTTCTGTTCCTACAGAATTCTGAGTTTAATCTGAGCATTTTGGAATCATCACCCACAACTCCTAACAATATGCAATCAAAGATTCACTAATTCAGGAGACATGTTGCTCGTAAATTAATAATTTAATATCATCGATATTTTCCAGATATCCCGGATGCTTCCTAAAACGTTCACGAACAAGTAGTGGTTCTCTATGTAAAGAGAAAAAAACTCGAGAAAGCTATCGCCAGCAGTTTCAAACGAACTTTTCCTGATGCCGAGGTGATTTGGGTTATAATAATGCTCGTGTCATGTTTTAACAATGAAGGTGTTCCATCCATAGTTACTCTTAAACTATCAGATCTGTAACTTAGTTTCTGTTATACAGTTTCACTGTCAATATTCCCCGTTGCACAACTGCATGACTATTCTCTGAAATCATCTGTTTGAGCAGATCCCAGAGAAATATGACGATGAATCAGCAGCTTCTCAAGGCTAAAAGGAGGCGCCGGCGCACATAAAGCTGATGTGTGACAGAGATAACCCACGACCTTCGAATGTCTCATTGTTACACTCTCTACACATATGATGAAATATATGGTAGATGAAACTGTTCATTTGGAGGTTAGTTGGTTTGGTGCAGGGTTTTACCCTTTGACATCACGATAAGACTAGAATGTTTATGTTCACATGTTTCTTGCAAGAATCAACATTGAAAACCTAACGGTTTTAAATCCTTTTGCATTTTCTGTATTTTGTAAAGACGATATTCCATGAAATGTCTACATTAAGTTCATTTTGAAATTGTTGACAAACTTTAAGAAGTGTGTCACTAGCAATTATTTTGTCATAGTACTTTCTCCATCCTTTCTTTAGAGAAAGAAGATCTTGAAGAGTTGCGTTTAATGAGAGGTTTTGAGTGTTACTTAGGTTGGAAAATAGAGTGGTTTTCTATGTTTTGAGGATATTAAGCTCTATTGTACCCTAAAACTTTACATTACTGCAATACAGATTAATTCATTAAAAGACAAAAAAAAATTATCTCTTATTGTGTGGATACCTCTATTTAACCAGCTTTGAATGAAGAAGCTACTATCTATTTCTAAACTGGTGATTCAGCCGCAAAGGTTCAGCCAATATTTCTTCTGCTTGACAGGTATTTACTGCATGTTGTTTATATGTTTATTTATGAAGGATCTAATAGATGTCAGTCTTAGTCCACCTTCCTCATACTTTCTACATATTGTTGTTCTCTTTATTTTAACCTTCTTACCATCCCACGGAAATTCTTTAGGGGGGATGGTAATACAGAATAAAAATGTGTTGTCAACTTGATATTGTCAGTGTTTTTAAGACTATAATTTTCCATTGTAATGCAGTGTTTCTTTTCTTGAACTGGCCAAAATTCTGTTAAAGTAACTGCTTCTAGTCTTTTCTCTAGTATTGCTTACATATAAATTTTCCAAATTAGGGTTGAGATATATACCAAGGATGTTAAAGTCACCTTCTTGCCAGTCTAAACTACTCTGGGTACAATTTCACTTTGCTTTTTCAGTCACTGGTTTTGAGTTCTAAACGTAAGTTAGTTAACGTTTAAACATATATATTTCATAATGAACTGGATTGCCACATAAACCAAACGCTTATCTTAATCACCTCCCAATAACAAGAAATGAAAATATATTGCATGACATACCAAACCTAGACAATTATATTTTGTAATACATTTGAATACTTTAGAATTAAAATAATTCAAAACTACCAGTAAGCAATAATATAATTACAACATCACCAGCAGAGATGTAAATAATATGATACTGTTGGTTAATTAAAGGTACCAAATTCCAAGACGAGTTTATTTCTCTGTTTCCAAAATTGATATCAAATTTATGTCCGAATTTCTGTAAAGCAACTTAAGGATTAACTAACTTTTGGTCAAGAGTTCCAAACTCCTACAGTGCTAGGTATTAATGACTTCCGTGGTTTCCTTGCTTTAATGGGTTACAAGTTCAAAGAGTTTTTTATAAGTTAACAGTAGTACGGAAAACGTCGGAGCATTTTGCAGACCATTCTCTGATAGTGCTTCTGTTTTTGTACAAATCTCCATTCATCCCAGGGTATAAAAATAGTGTCGGGGTACATGACGTACATTGACCCACATATTGTCCTCAGAAGATCGAGTATCAGGTGTGAAATGATCCAGTATATAGTAAGAACCAAAGAGTGATATCAAAAAGATTTATATATACATAATGTGGAGGGTCTCCTTGAGGAACGGTATTGAAAACTCCTCACACAAATAACGATGTGTGTGACCCTTTCTAAAATGGGTACACTGTGTGAAGCCCATTTCTGGTATCCCCTTCCGTGATATTGCTGGAATATTGCTAAAAGTGGCGTAAAATATCACTCACTCGGTCACATTCTGCAATGCTACCTGTACATTCACTTACATTGTCCCTTTGTGTATACGAATATCCGATGCGTTTCCCCACATCGATGGAATTGTGGAACTTTACTGGTTAAAGGGATACGATATGTTGTTGGTTGTTAATTCAGAAAAGCATTGCTCGTCGACTTCAGAGTGAATGTAATGCTGTCAAGACAGTTCTTGTTTAAATACTTTGGGGAGGAAGTTGCTGTTGCTTTTCAACTCACTCTGCTTCTGTAATATACATTGGAACTGCACCAGGCCAACTGTATCTACATTATGTTTATTTCTTCTTTAAGGACAAAACCCTTTTCTTGTGTAGTTATCTAAATAACATGTGATTTTTTTATCCTTAATCTATGTTCATTGAATGTATTGACAGTGTGAACATATTATATTGTATTTACTACATCAGCAGTTAACATAAACTACGTATGTTCTTGATGAAGGCTTGCATAAATCACTCAGTAGAGAGAAGTGTGCTGTCGTACAAAACTGTTGTAAAACTTGACGTTAGGGAAGCACACCATTCAGTTATGTGAACAAGGTAGTATAATGTTCTTTAGCATACCATGTTATGTTTTTGTTATATATTATATTATTCTTTATTGTATTGTTCCTTTTTATTCATCTGCTTCTGTAATAAACGTTGGAACACACAAGTTGATCTCCGCCGTCTGTATCATTCGACATTATTCATACTTCTTCTTTAACGACTTGCTAGCTTGAGACGAGGGCGATCTCAGTAACTTACAACACTAAATATGTTTGAGGTTCTATTGTAAAACTGAACTTGAAAATTCTACGGATGTGTATATCATAATACGATTGCTGTGAAACATACACAGAGCTCCACAGAGGTGCAATGCAATGCAATGGATGGATGGATGGATGGAACTGTAATCTGTCCTTGAAGGTAAAGCTGAAACGCGTAAGAGGGAAATACGTGTTTTGTGATTATAGTGGAGGTGTGGACGGGCGGACGGGCGGACTGACGGACGGATGGGTGAGTGGGTTTGGTGGATGGACGGATGGACCTGGTCATTTACCACTTTGACGTAATAATTAAATCTCACGCACAAGGAATGAGCAAAAGTGCTAAAACAGAAATAATATCATATTGTTTTTGAAGACTTGGTTAGCCCCGACTGCACAGTTCAGAAACGCAATGTTCAGATTGAACGGGGATGTTGTCACCACAACAGTGCAGGCAGAAAGAGCGTTTGTAAAAAAGTGCATTTACAGGATTTAGCACTAGATCTAATCCAATCGATATACGGACCGACTGGGACGTGTTAATAATATTTAGTGGATGTAAATAGTACTATTAGAGAACTCCTAAACACATTACTAGGGCTAAGAGCATAGGTGCACAAGTGAAGTCACAACCCGAATAAATATTTACATAAATGATATCCACATATTTCATATCCAAAAAATCTTCATCACTTCTTTTTGCTAGATAATACCTAACGGATTCCACCGAAGATGAGTTGAAATTCACTTAAACAAAGTCAAATGGAACATATTAAAATGCACATAAATCCTAAGTTAGGCAATAGTTACCTCCAACACATCTAAACTACCGGGCAAGAGAAAGTCCGACGTCACTTGACCACAAAATAGAAACAAAGACGATAGATAGATAAAAATCATTTTCCAATAATCTGACTGAAAATGTATACTAATACTGGTCTTGCATTTGCCGCAATTCATAAAGATAAAGTCAGGAGGTCAAAATTAAAACTTAACCAAAATCAGAGTTCATTGACGAAGTGCATAAAGAGTTAGATGATGTGAAAGAAGTCAGGGGACACGTCATCAATGGCGAGTGTGGCCACCCAGGGCATCCATACACGCCAACACACGTCCGTCAGTCGGCGGCTGGCGTCATCAGGAATCCTGTTCCATACGTCTAAAGGAGTCTGTTCAAGTTCCTGTAGACTCGTTGGATGTGGTACATGCTGTCACCGCTGACGATCAAGATGATACCAGAGATGGTCAATAGGGTTCTTGTCCGGAGAAGGCGCTGTTCTAGTGCTGTCGCCCCCGCTGACGTCACTGTCATGAATCTATTCCGGAAGTGGATCTGCCAGATGTAGCAGTCTTCGTCCGGTGTCGTGACTCTTCCCGGTCTTCCTGAGATTGAGCGGTCTTGCGTCTGGCCTGTTGGCTGGCAGCGGTCTATCTATATGTTGATGGTGGCCTGGCTGCAGTTGACGGTTCTTGCCAGCTGACGTTGTGAAGCCCCCATATTGGCCATACCGCACTGTCTCGTTGCGCTTGCGTAAGCCATGGCATATTCGTGGTGTTCTTTTTGGTTACTGCTCTGTCCAGCTTCGGTATTTATGCCACGTGCATGTGCATTTGGACAAATGCCACACAACCACGTTTTTCACGTCAATAGTTACATCATAATGCCCCTACTGATGTGTTAAAGGTCTTGAACTAAAACATCAACATATCTGTATCCATTACATGTCCAGACTCTCAATGACTGCAGCTTCAAATCATGTGTGCTTAAACCACTCATAGCATATGTGGGCACCTAGAAAGCAAATGATTATAAAACAGAGAGCTGCTTTAAGGTATTTCGATAAACTGCACTAGTCGGTTATAAAGTTACAATCGTTAATTATGCAGCTATTAAGATTTAGTTCCGAGCGTGTTTTTATGAGTGTGGCAAATTGACAGAAGCGTCTGTACAATATCCTCCACATCACCTCTGATGATTTTTGCTTCCATCCGACTGCAAGGAGATACAAAGAGTTTCTTCCTATGGTTTGTGGTTTGTCTGTTGACTATCTGTTTTGTAACTATGGTTACCTTCAAGTAGTTTCAAGCA